TGCTAACGTTTAATTTCAGACTTTTTTTTTTTTTTGTTCAGTTGCCGTTACTTCATTCCTGGCGTATTCGGTGATTATTCCTATTATTAAAATAATAGCCGGTAAGTGACTTAAACTTCATTTTGTTCTAAACTTTTCCAGCTCTTTAATCACTCTTGGCTGTTTCAGGTGCTCGGTGTTTAGGCAAGCTTGAGGGCGATAAATATTTGGTTCCATGCTTAATAGCTGGGGGAGCACTGATGCTTTGTAGGACTTTGCTTGATATAATAATCGAATTAATTAAAGTGATTAAATTACGATACTCTGTAAAACCGATCCTAATATTTATTCGTACTGTGGTGACTACTTTCTTAATAGGGTGTAAGTGAAATTCAATATTATTTCCCTTCTCAGATGTAATTGAATTTAAAAAAATTTTTTTTCAGGTTACTTATATGTTTATAGAAGTCGAGAAACGTTTCCGTCCGGACCACCACATTGCGAAATCATACGTGATATGTTCTTATTTAGTCCAATAACCGAGGGATTGAATTTAGTGTGCTTCAATTTGTCCTATCATTCCTTATTTTACAAATTATTTCCTTGTGTATCCGACCGTATTCGTTATTTACTGAAGTTGTCGAGGAAATGTTGTTGTAAACTAAAAGCACAGAGTGCTTCCTCGGAAGATACTCAGTCAACCACAGCAACCGAGCACCTCGACGAGACGTCCTCCCAGTCAACACAGGAACCAAGCACCTCGACGAGATTGTAAAATTTTAGTAAATTCTTACCTTCTTTTAATGGCGAATTTTGGAACGTGTCCGGCTTCTTAAAGCTCTTCGTATTTAGTTCTGAAAATTGGATCCGTTTAAACTCATTTTGGTTATTTATTTGTATACAAGCAACACGTGCTATGCTTTTATGGAAGTTTTTAAGAGTGATATCTGATTTGTATAGATATTGTATTTTACGTAATTTCTATGCTCTTCGACGAATAAAAGTTTTAATGCTTTATTTTATAGTGGCTTTATTATTCTTATTACATTGCTAAATTAGTCTCGCAATATCCATATTTACATTGTATTACATTTTCCTACAGTACCATGCTTAAACAATTATCCACAGGGAAATAGAATAGCAGGTCGGAATAAATAAGAAGTCACGATTAAGTGACTCGAACACTACGCGATTTTGCTGCCCAATGCGGTATATTCGCCGATTTTGTCATAACATGTTGCAGTGTTTTTTCAACTTTATCAAGCAATTAATTGGCGAACGTCTCAGATACTTCAGCCCAAGCTTCGGGGGTAACTTTTGTACTTTCCTGTCCGATTTAAAGGAAAAAAATTCTACGTTTGATTTTGATGATTTTGGTGTCACAATTCTTAGTACAACCTTGGCTTGTGCATAAATTACATTTTATAAAATAAAGTTGAGTCTAAGAAAAGATATATTCAAAAAACTAAAGTGTCGGATTTCGCCTCTTTAATGCTTAATAACAAAGCATCCAAAAATGTCAAAATACTGTGTTTTGTAATATGAAGCCACACAGTTACTTCATATTTTTTGCACAGTTTGGTGAATTTCGGTTGAACTACGGAAAAGATATCATAGTTCAATTAAAAAGGAACACATCTACGTCCTCATCTTCACTACATGGCGCTACGTTACCCTGCTCTTCAATTGTCTCTGCTGTAACTGCATGCCCGGGCCAGTACCGGTTTAATGATATAAATCATATAATTCTTTTAGTACATCTTTATTCAGATCATCATTAATTATATTTTTTATTCTAAGAGTGACTTGCCAATATAGTCTGGACACGAATGTAAATATTGCAATTCACTACATGATTTAGATAATTCAAAAAATTCTCGATAAAATTTACTTAAAAAAATTTTAAAAAAGTTTTTGGATTTCTAGGTCTAAGGCATGAGATCCTTTAGAAGATTTAGAAAAAAAATGAAGAAAACCCTGTATAGTTTGAAAAAATATTTTACATTCATTTATATATCCAGCAGATTGAAAGAAAACTAGATTCAATTTGTCAGCATAACAGTGTACGTAAATAGCACGTTAATAGCATGATATTTCTTTAATTTTGGCTTGAACACCATTATGTTGTCCGGCCATTACGGCAGCACTGCCGTATGTTTGTGCCACTAATTTTTTACTGCATTGAAATTCGTCTAAGTAACTCTTAATGTGAGTAAATAACGAATTTGTGTCTCTGTTCTCATACACATCAGTTGTTCTCATACACATCAGTAAAACCTACAAATCTTTCTTCGACGTTACCGTTTTCTTTCACGTAACGAAATACATTTAAATTTCCTAAATGTATTTTTAATTACTTATTAAGTACGTCAGATAATCAAACAAGTTCAATATAATTACCTCTGTTACTAGATTCAATAGATTTCTTATGCCCTCTGTATGCCACTTCTTAACGGCTTGATGGCCGAGTGGTCAAGGTGGCGACCTACCGCTCCGGGGGACCGGACTATTTATATTCCAATATACAATAGCAATCTTATTATTGTTTTACACACGTATAGAAATTTGTAATAAAATACATAATGCGGTTATAATAAAATATTAATTATGAGTAATTCAAAGTACGTTAAAATATGGAAATAATAGCACAATACTGTATGTATTTATATTTTAGAAAATACAATGTAAGCGGCATTTCCACAATTTCCACGGATTGCACGACACTCAAATGTATAACGTGAAACAGGAAGTATTTTCAAGTGCAGCACGTACAAAAGCATTGGATGCTTCGATGATACAGCATCTACAATGGTTTATGAGTGCTGAAGCCTTCGAAGTATCCATAAGTAGCGCAACTGTTTTACAATTTGTCAACAATAAAATGTGTATTTCCAATAAAAATGTATTTACTGTAACGTTACAGTAAATATATTTTAATTGGAAATTGTATGCGTTTATCATAGTCGTCACGCGGAGAATAATGCCAACCGGGAGTTCTTTTAAGGGTAACTGGTCCCTATTCAGGCGTTACAGACGTGAAAAAACCNAAATTAGAAAATTAAGCCTTGTTTAAATACTGGCTCCCTTTCATGGTCGAATGAGTGTTGCCAGCTAAAACACGTAAAAATAATATGAAAGTAGCCAAGACATAGGCAAATATTGTAACGCCACATCACTAGCGGACATTTGAAATTCGCCGACTAGGACGGTCGGTTAATCGAGGCTCTACTGTATTTATTAATTACGTAAATTTCTGTTTTATTATTATATTTAAGAATTTGTTTTTATTAACGACTTTATTCTCACAATAGCATTATTCATTAATAATATACATGTCAAGAAATTATTTTTGCAACACTGAACGAATTATAAGGAATAAAAAGATAACAATAAAAATGCTTCGATCCAAGATTTTTCGAACGAGTTTTTATCCAGTGAAAAAACCGAAGAAAACATTGAAAGAACAATAGGAAAAGATCTTGTCTCGTTTCATCTAGTTGGGCATTCTCGCCCCGTGGTAAAGTGTGACGTAATCGTTATGTAATAATAGTTGTATGCGTTTATCACAGTCGTCACGCGGAGAATAATGCCTACCGGGAGTTCTTTTAAGGGTAACTGGTCCCTATTCAGGCGTTACAGACGTGAAAAAACCCGAAAAATTCCACGTAGCCAGCCCGTCCGGGAGAGACTCGAACCCACGACCGAATTCTCAGTGTTCAGGGAACGGAACCGCTTCGCCACTGGTGGGCACACATCCTGTAAGGGAAGGTAGGCCACCACTGCCGCCCTGTGGTAATTGTCCCTCCTCAAAATTGCTTTTTATTTTCTTTGTTTCCTTACCAGCTACAAAAACGATATTCTTCTCATAAACTAAAATGCATTATTCATTAAAACTCTGTAAAGAAATAATTCGTTTTTATTTAACATACTTTTCAATTTTTTTAAAAAGAATTTGCATATATTTGCGTTTTACACTTTAACGAATTTCAGTGGAAAAATGATTTTTTTCCACTTAAATTAATACTTAATTATTTTAACTCTTTTTCTATTATATTTAGAAACTTGCTCTGATTTTATTGAATGTATTCTTCAGACAAAATATTTTCATCAATAATTTAAATAGGAAGAAAGTTTGGCAGCAGTGGAATTGTAATAAATAACACGATCACTGGTTCCAAGCTAAGGTTATCATAAATGACAATGGATTCGCAAGAACCGTGCTTTTCAGGGGCAATTGCAATGGATTTGCAAGAACCGTGCTTTTCAGGGACATTGAATGGTTTACAGGTAAAAATGTACTTACTTTCTCAACTTTACAGTATGCAGAAAAGTTGATTTCGATGAAGATAAAATACAACATACTAAAACCTAATTTCATAGTTTGAAAGAAAATTTTCATTCTTTTTATCCAGAATGGCGACATGGATCATTCGAATATTGGTGAGAATGTTTCTGTGACTCCAGAGGAAGAAGGAAACGGAAATAATTCGTCAGCTAGAAATAATGACGTTGAGGCATATCGTAAATCAGTTAATGCAGGAATTNTCTAATATATTTAGAAACTTGCTCTAATTTTACTGAATGTATTCTTCAGACAAAATATTTTCATCAATAATTTAAATAAGAAGAAAGTTTGGCAGCAGTGGAATTGTAATAAATAACACGATCACTGGTTCCAAGCTAATGTTATCGTAAATGACAATGGATTCGCAAGAACCGTGCTTTTCAGGGGCAATTACAATGGATATGCAAGAACCGTGCTTTTCAGGGACATTGAGTGGTTTACAGGTAAAAATGTACTTACTTTCTCAACTTTACAGTATGCAGAAAAGTTGATTTCGATGAAGATAAAATACAATATACAGTACTAAAACCTAATTTCGTAGTTTAAAAGAAAATTTTCATTCTTTCTATCCAGAATGACGAAACGGATAATTCGAATATTGATGAGATTGTTTCTGTGACTCCAGAGGAAGAAGGAAACGGAAATAATTCGTCAGCTAGAAATAATGACGTTGAGGCATCAATTGAAGGTGAAACATAGTTTTTTTTTTTACTTTTACTTTTTACTGTAAACAATTCTGAAAGGAGCTTAAAGGGAGAACATTTATTATTTACTCTGTAAAATAGATGCTGTTGAGAGACTTAACGACGATAAGAAGAAAAGTCGGATGGGGAGGTGTATTAATGGTGTTCATAGATGGTATTATTACATACGTAAGTACTTTTCCCTTCCACGTTAGTGTAAAAATTCCTGAAGTACTTTAAATCAATGCTGAAACTGTCCTATCAATTGTTTTAGATCCTGCACATGTTTAATATCAGACCTTTGTTTTTTCCTCTACAAAACTAAATACATGATTTTTTTTTTCTTCAGTTGCCTTTATTTCATTCCTGATATATTTTCTGATTGTTCCTTTTGCTAAAATAATAACCGGTAAGTGACTTAAACTTGTTTTTGTTCTAAACTTTTTCAGCTCTTTAATCACTCCTGGCCGTTTCAGGTGCTAGGTGTTTAGGTGAGCTTGAAGGCGATAATCGTTTGCCTTCACTCTTAATAGCCGGGGGAGTACTGATGATTGTTAGGACAATTCTTGATATAATAATCGAGACTAAAGTGATTGAATCACATTCTGTTTTACGTAGTCTAGCGGTGCTTTTTCGTACTATATTTACTACTATCTTGGTAACGTGTGAGTGAAGTTTCGCATTATTTCCCTTCTTAGATGTAATTGAACTTTGTTTAAAAAAAACCTTTTTTTTTTCAGTTTACGTATATGTTCGTAGATCTGTGGAAACGTTTCCGTCCGGACCACCACATTGCGAAATCATACGTGATATGTTCTCATTTAGCCCAATAACCGATGGACTGCGTTTAGTGTGCTTCAATTTGTGCTATAATAACATATTTTACAAATTCTTCCCTTGGCTATTCGTCCGTGTTTCTAAGTGGTTTAGGGAACGTCTTCGTTATTGTAATAATCCACAAGAACAGAGCGATTCGACGAGCCTTCCTCTCAGTCAGCCACAAGAACAGAGCGCTTCGACGAGCCTTCCTCTCAGTCAGCCACAAGAACAGAGCGCTTCGACGAGCCGTTCTCTCAGTCAACCAGAGGCANAAAGAAAATTTTCATTCTTTTTATCCAGAATGGCGACATGGATCATTCGAATATTGGTGAGAATGTTTCTGTGACTCCAGAGGAAGAAGGAAACGGAAATAATTCGTCAGCTAGAAATAATGACGTTGAGGCATATCGTAAATCAGTTAATGCAGGAATTTACGGTAGTTATTCTTTTCTTTTTACTTTTTACTGTAAACAATTCTGAAAGGAGCTTAAAGGGAGAACATTTATTATTTACTCTGTAAAATAGATGTTATTGAGAGTTTTAAAGACGATAAGACGAAATCTTGGATGGAGAGACGTATTAATACTTTACATAGATGGTATTATTACATACGTAAGTACTTTCACTCTTCCCGTTAGTGTAAGAATTCCTGAAATATTCCTGAAGTAATCAATGCTGAAACTGTCCTACCAATTATTTTGGATCCTGCTAACGTTTAATTTCAGACTTGTTTTTTTTTTTTTTGTTCAGTTGCCGTTACTTCATTCCTGGCGTATTCGGTGATTATTCCTATTATTAAAATAATAGCCGGTAAGTGACTTAAACTTCATTTTGTTCTAAACTTTTCCAGCTCTTTAATCACTCTTGGCTGTTTCAGGTGCTCGGTGTTTAGGCAAGCTTGAGGGCGATAAATATTTGGTTCCATGCTTAATAGCTGGGGGAGCACTGATGCTTTGTAGGACTTTGCTTGATATAATAATCGAATTAATTAAAGTGATTAAATTACGATACTCTGTAAAACCGATCCTAATATTTATTCGTACTGTGGTGACTACTTTCTTAATAGGGTGTAAGTGAAATTCAATATTATTTCCCTTCTCAGATGTAATTGAATTTAAAAAAATTTTTTTTCAGGTTACTTATATGTTTATAGAAGTCGAGAAACGTTTCCGTCCGGACCACCACATTGCGAAATCATACGTGATATGTTCTTATTTAGTCCAATAACCGAGGGATTGAATTTAGTGTGCTTCAATTTGTCCTATCATTCCTTATTTTACAAATTATTTCCTTGTGTATCCGACCGTATTCGTTATTTACTGAAGTTGTCGAGGAAATGTTGTTGTAAACTAAAAGCACAGAGTGCTTCCTCGGAAGATACTCAGTCAACTACAGCAACCGAGCATCTCGACGAGACGTCCTCCCAGTCAACACAGGAACCAAGCACCTCGACGAGATTGTAAAATTTTAGTAAATTCTTACCTTCTTTTAATGGCGAATTTTGGAACGTGTCCGGCTTCTTAAAGCTCTTCGTATTTAGTTCTGAAAATTGGATCCGTTTAAACTCATTTTGGTTATTTATTTGTATACAAGCAACACGTGCTATGCTTTTATGGAAGTTTTTAAGAGTGATATCTGATTTGTATAGATATTGTATTTTACGTAATTTCTATGCTCTTCGACGAATAAAAGTTTTAATGCTTTATTTTATAGTGGCTTTATTATTCTTATTACATTGCTAAATTAGTCTCGCAATATCCATATTTACATTGTATTACATTTTCCTACAGTACCATGCTTAAACAATTATCCACAGGGAAATAGAATAGCAGGTCGGAATAAATAAGAAGTCACGATTAAGTGACTCGAACACTACGCGATTTTGCTGCCCAATGCGGTATATTCGCCGATTTTGTCATAACATGTTGCAGTGTTTTTTCAACTTTATCAAGCAATTAATTGGCGAACGTCTCAGATACTTCAGCCCAAGCTTCGGGGGTAACTTTTGTACTTTCCTGTCCGATTTAAAGGAAAAAAATTCTACGTTTGATTTTGATGATTTTGGTGTCACAATTCTTAGTACAACCTTGGCTTGTGCATAAATTACATTTTATAAAATAAAGTTGAGTCTAAGAAAAGATATATTCAAAAAACTAAAGTGTCGGATTTCGCCTCTTTAATGCTTAATAACAAAGCATCCAAAAATGTCAAAATACTGTGTTTTGTAATATGAAGCCACACAGTTACTTCATATTTTTTGCACAGTTTGGTGAATTTCGGTTGAACTACGGAAAAGATATCATAGTTCAATTAAAAAGGAACACATCTACGTCCTCATCTTCACTACATGGCGCTACGTTACCCTGCTCTTCAATTGTCTCTGCTGTAACTGCATGCCCGGGCCAGTACCGGTTTAATGATATAAATCATATAATTCTTTTAGTACATCTTTATTCAGATCATCATTAATTATATTTTTTATTCTAAGAGTGACTTGCCAATATAGTCTGGACACGAATGTAAATATTGCAATTCACTACATGATTTAGATAATTCAAAAAATTCTCGATAAAATTTACTTTAAAAAATTTTAAAAAAGTTTTTGGATTTCTAGGTCTAAGGCATGAGATCCTTTAGAAGATTTAGAAAAAAATGAAGAAAACCCTGTATAGTTTGAAAAAATATTTTACATTCATTTATATATCCAGCAGATTGAAAGAAAACTAGATTCAATTTGTCAGCATAACAGTGTACGTAAATAGCACGTTAATAGCATGATATTTCTTTAATTTTGGCTTGAACACCATTATGTTGTCCGGCCATTACGGCAGCACTGCCGTATGTTTGTGCCACTAATTTTTTACTGCATTGAAATTCGTCTAAGTAACTCTTAATGTGAGTAAATAACGAATTTGTGTCTCTGTTCTCATACACATCAGTTGTTCTCATACACATCAGTAAAACCTACAAATCTTTCTTCGACGTTACCGTTTTCTTTCACGTAACGAAATACATTTAAATTTCCTAAATGTATTTTTAATTACTTATTAAGTACGTCAGATAATCAAACAAGTTCAATATAATTACCTCTGTTACTAGATTCAATAGATTTCCTATGCCCTCTGTATGCCACTTCTTAACGGCTTGATGGCCGAGTGGTCAAGGTGGCGACCTACCGCTCCGGGGGACCGGACTATTTATATTCCAATATACAATAGCAATCTTATTATTGTTTTACACACGTATAGAAATTTGTAATAAAATACATAATGCGGTTATAATAAAATATTAATTATGAGTAATTCAAAGTACGTTAAAATATGGAAATAATAGCACAATACTGTATGTATTTATATTTTAGAAAATACAATGTAAGCGGCATTTCCACAATTTCCACGGATTGCACGACACTCAAATGTATAACGTGAAACAGGAAGTATTTTCAAGTGCAGCACGTACAAAAGCATTGGATGCTTCGATGATACAGCATCTACAATGGTTTATGAGTGCTGAAGCCTTCGAAGTATCCTTAAGTAGCGCAACTGTTTTACAATTTGTCAACAATAAAATGTGTATTTCCAATAAAAATGTATTTACTGTAACGTTACAGTAAATATATTTTAATTGGAAATTGTATGCGTTTATCATAGTCGTCACGCGGAGAATAATGCCAACCGGGAGTTCTTTTAAGGGTAACTGGTCCCTATTCAGGCGTTACAGACGTGAAAAAACCCGAAAAATTCCACGTAGCCAGCCCGTCCGGGAGAGACTCGAACCCACGACCGAATTCTCAGTGTTCAGGGAACGGAACCGCTTCGCCACTGGTGGGCACACATCCTGTAAGGGAAGGTAGGCCACCACTGCCGCCCTGTGGTAATTGTCCCTCCTCAAAATTGCTTTTTATTTTCTTTGTTTCCTTACCAGCTACAAAAACGATATTCTTCTCATAAACTAAAATGCATTATCCATTAAAACTCTGTAAAGAAATTACTCTTTTTTATTAAACATATTTTTCAATTTTTTAAAAATTTGCATATTTTTACGTTTTACACTTTAAAGAATTTCAGTGGAAAAATGATTTTTTTCCACTTAATACTTAATTATTTTAATTATTTTTCTAATATATTTAGAAACTTGCTCTAATTTTACTGAATGTATTCTTCAGACAAAATATTTTCATCAATAATTTAAATAAGAAGAAAGTTTGGCAGCAGTGGAATTGTAATAAATAACACGATCACTGGTTCCAAGCTAATGTTATCGTAAATGACAATGGATTCGCAAGAACCGTGCTTTTCAGGGGCAATTACAATGGATATGCAAGAACCGTGCTTTTCAGGGACATTGAGTGGTTTACAGGTAAAAATGTACTTACTTTCTCAACTTTACAGTATGCAGAAAAGTTGATTTCGATGAAGATAAAATACAATATACAGTACTAAAACCTAATTTCGTAGTTTAAAAGAAAATTTTCATTCTTTCTATCCAGAATGACGAAACGGATAATTCGAATATTGATGAGATTGTTTCTGTGACTCCAGAGGAAGAAGGAAACGGAAATAATTCGTCAGCTAGAAATAATGACGTTGAGGCATCAATTGAAGGTGAAACATAGTTTTTTTTTTTACTTTTACTTTTTACTGTAAACAATTCTGAAAGGAGCTTAAAGGGAGAACATTTATTATTTACTCTGTAAAATAGATGCTGTTGAGAGACTTAACGACGATAAGAAGAAAAGTCGGATGGGGAGGTGTATTAATGGTGTTCATAGATGGTATTATTACATACGTAAGTACTTTTCCCTTCCACGTTAGTGTAAAAATTCCTGAAGTACTTTAAATCAATGCTGAAACTGTCCTATCAATTGTTTTAGATCCTGCACATGTTTAATATCAGACCTTTGTTTTTTCCTCTACAAAACTAAATACATGATTTTTTTTTTCTTCAGTTGCCTTTATTTCATTCCTGATATATTTTCTGATTGTTCCTTTTGCTAAAATAATAACCGGTAAGTGACTTAAACTTGTTTTTGTTCTAAACTTTTTCAGCTCTTTAATCACTCCTGGCCGTTTCAGGTGCTAGGTGTTTAGGTGAGCTTGAAGGCGATAATCGTTTGCCTTCACTCTTAATAGCCGGGGGAGTACTGATGATTGTTAGGACAATTCTTGATATAATAATCGAGACTAAAGTGATTGAATCACATTCTGTTTTACGTAGTCTAGCGGTGCTTTTTCGTACTATATTTACTACTATCTTGGTAACGTGTGAGTGAAGTTTCGCATTATTTCCCTTCTTAGATGTAATTGAACTTTGTTTAAAAAAAACCTTTTTTTTTTCAGTTTACGTATATGTTCGTAGATCTGTGGAAACGTTTCCGTCCGGACCACCACATTGCGAAATCATACGTGATATGTTCTCATTTAGCCCAATAACCGATGGACTGCGTTTAGTGTGCTTCAATTTGTGCTATAATAACATATTTTACAAATTCTTCCCTTGGCTATTCGTCCGTGTTTCTAAGTGGTTTAGGGAACGTCTTCGTTATTGTAATAATCCACAAGAACAGAGCGATTCGACGAGCCTTCCTCTCAGTCAGCCACAAGAACAGAGCGCTTCGACGAGCCTTCCTCTCAGTCAGCCACAAGAACAGAGCGCTTCGACGAGCCGTTCTCTCAGTCAACCAGAGGCAGTGAGCGCTTCCACGAGCCTTTCTTCCATTCAACCAGAGGCAGAGAGCGCTTCCACGAGCCATCCTCTCAATCAACCAGAGGCAGAGAGCGCTTCCACGAGCCTTCCTCCCATTCAACTAGAAGAACAGAGTGCTTCGACGAGCCGTTCTCCCAGTCAACCACGAACAAAGAATACCTCGACGAGACGATTTCTATTAGAAACTAGATTGTAAAATTTTAGTAATTCTTACTTTTTTTTTAATTAATGGCGACTTTTGGAAAATTAATGGCCTCTTAAAGCTCGTCGTATTTAGTTCTGAAAATTGGATCCGTTTAAACTCATTTTGGTTATATATATTTTTATATAAGCAACGTGTGCTACGCTTTTATGGAAGTTTTTAAGAGTGATATCTGATTTGTATAGATATTGTATTTTACGTAATTTCTATGCTCTTCGACGAATAAAAGTTTTTTAATGCTTTATTTTATGGTGGCTTTATTATTTTTAGAGAGATTAGGGAAGCTTTCTTGCTTCTGCACCGGAATCACTAACTTACGAGGTACTTAACGTGGGAAAACTATTTAAATACGTGGCAATGCCAAATTACTGCTTTGAAATATTTATTATTGGAGACGGTATCTCTTGCCAAATAATGCAAGGGATAACGTTCTCCAATAGTTTCAAAGAGATAAAACCTGTAAGAATCTACAGGACTATAGCGCAATATCACAAGATGACTGTGTCCGATATTGTGAGACTAATTTAGCATATTTTACATTGTATTACATTTTCCTACAGTACCATGCTTAAGCAATTTCCACAGGGAAATAGAATAGCAGGTCGGAATAAATAAGAAGTCACGATTAAGTGACTGGTGAATTTCGATTGAACTACGGAAAATTTATCAGAGTTCAATTAAAAAGGAATACATCTACGTCCCTCATCTCCACTACATGGCGACACGTTACCCTGATCTTTAATTGCCTCTGCTATAACTGCAAGCCCGGGCCAGTACAGGTTTAAAGGAAATGTCGTTTCCTCTCGTCAACACGCCATGCTAAACTCCTTCCTCTCATACCATTGGAAATTTTCAACATTTATGTAACTATTTCAAACAGATGTTTAAAAAATATTAAGCGACTAATACGAAATTTGCAATGATAGTTTCAATACAGCACGAAAGAATATTTATCACCGATTTCCAAAATATCTGTNGAATAAATAAGAAGTCACGATTAAGTGACTGGTGAATTTCGATTGAACTACGGAAAATTTATCAGAGTTCAATTAAAAAGGAATACATCTACGTCTCTCATCTCCACTACATGGCGACACGTTACCCTGATCTTCAATTGCTTCTGCTATAACTGCATGCCCGGGCCAGTACAGGTTTAAAGGAAATGTCGTTACCTCTCGTCAACACTCCAGCAGTTATGCTAAACTCCTTCCTCTCATACCATTGGAAATTTTCAACATTTATGTAACTATTTCAAACAGATGTTTAAAGAATATTAAGCGACTAATACGAAATTTGCAATGATAGTTTCAATACAGCACGAAAGAATATTTATCACCGATTTCCAAAATATCTGTCAATTAGGAAAGGATAAGTGATAAACAGCAAACAGTGACGTAACTGGAACTATTGGGCTGCATGCAAAAAATTTTATGCCTTCTCATTTACAATACTCCAAGAAAGTACAAGGCAAAAAGAAAGAGACGTTCTGTTGAACTAGACTTTTAAAAGACAAGAGCTTCATCGAATAAAGTATATAATCAGTTGCAGATTGTGTTCCTTTGAGACCCTAGACGCAATTTTGTTAGGCCCTTTATGTGAAAGTGTTATACAGTATATATATATTAGGCAATAAAATCGTCAATTTGAGTTATGTCAACGTTCTTGCCGGGATGCAAAGTATACACTTTTTAAGCGTTCTTTAAATTTTTAGAACACGTGAGTTTCTACGTAAGTTTTGACGTTTCGAGACTTCTACCCCCGTCTCTACTCAACAGGTGAGCGCCTGGTGTGTAATCCGCCACTGCATGTAATTTCTAAAAAGTTAATTTGTTAACTACTTCAGCCATGTTTAAACGTTAACAGAAAATAAATCTAGCTAAAACTAACAACAAACCATATTTCTTGCAGTTGAGTCTATATCTGACTAGATGCATGTATTTGTCAGCTAGAAATAATGACGTTGAGGCATCAATTGAAGGTGAAACATAGTTTTTTTTTTTACTTTTACTTTTTACTGTAAACAATTCTGAAAGGAGCTTAAAGGGAGAACATTTATTATTTACTCTGTAAAATAGATGCTGTTGAGAGACTTAACGNGGTGTGTAATCCGCCACTGCATGTAATTTCTAAAAAGTTAATTTGTTAACTAAATACTGATTAAGGAGGTTATCGCAGACGTTCCAAATGTGTGAAAAATTACATTCTGTCCAGGATTGGATTGTTTTATACGACACGTGGATCAAAGGAGGATACCTCTCGCAAGGACTTTCTATGGGAAAGTGGTCCTTACCGGTATTTAGCTGTTACAAATGTGAAGAAAACTGGGTAAAATCCACATATGGCCAAGCGTGAACACATGACCAATCTACTGTACAGTGCACACGGCCACTGGCGAGCATATTCTGTCCAGATATTTAATTTTCTATCTCTATTTGAAGATTAAGAATTTATACAGTGGTGTTAAAACAGGCTCTGAAATAGTGTGCCACAAGAGAAGTGCCTAAATGTGCCACAAATACTATAAAACTATATTTTAAAATATAATTTCACAAGTTTCATAAAATATAGATTAAAAATTCAAATTAATAACGAAAGAGTCAAACAGGTGAATGGATATTTAGGCAACTGGAAGAAGTAAAAAGAAATTTTAAGAATAGCGATATCCAAAGAAGCATTTAACAAGAAGAGAATAATCTTTCGTGGTTCTGTGGAACAGGGATTAAATACTTCAGCCATGTTTAAACGTTAACAGAAAATAAACCTAGATAAAAGTAACAACAAACCATATTTCTTGCAGTTGAGTGTACATCTGACTAGATTAGGGGTCCCCAAAGTGGTCGATATCGACCCCTTTGGGTCGATAAGAGTTCTCCAGGGGTCGATTAATACACGAGGGTCGAAAGGGGGTCGATTAATACCAAAGAGGATCAATTAAACTGTCTTGGAAAAAAATAGAATATTCCAATAAAAATTCGAAATACTGATATGATCAACAACATTACTGACTACCCTAGTTATAGGTTGAGTTTTGTCTTAGCCTACACCGCTTTAAGCATGTGTTACTCTGTTTTCACGCATCTGGCAACTGTACTAGTATTACAAACATGTTATGAACGCTGGTAGTTCTTTATACACAAACATACTGTTACACTCTAGTAGGGTTGTCATTCTAAGTATTTTATATCTAAATGTAGATACAGTATTTTGTCCTTTACATAGAAAATATCGTAATATATCGAAAATCATTAATATAGTACAGAAGCGTTTGCAAGGAAAAAATGTTACAATTATTCGAGCTCGAACAATCATTATGGCCTTTCGAATAAAAATGGAGCTATTTAAATCTTCACTGGCACGATCCGATTTTAAATACTTTTCAAACTTGCGAGTACTAAAAGAAAATGAAAAGATTTCCGACCGTGATTTGGAGATATATATTAAACATTGTGATAAATTAAGAGAAGACTTTAAAGCAGGTTTCAAAGACTCTGAGAATATGCATGTTCCCGAATGGTTTGCTAATGCATTTGATGTAAAAATAGATAATGAAGTTAGTCAACCTGACTTATAAGATGAACTGAGTGAAATATATGTAGATTTCGAAGCTAAAGCTTTGTTTAAAAATAAAAACCTCAGTGAATTTTGGAGCAATAACAACATTGTCCTAAATATCCCAAGCTCAGAGCAGAAGCCGAACCTTTCTTGCATTCCCAACTTCATACATGGTTGAAGCTGGTTTTATCCACGCGAACGCAATTTTGACAAAACAGAGGAACAGATTGAACTTGGAAAACCGTGATGATTTGCGACTAAAACTTACCAATTTTCAATAGTATATCAATAATCTTGCTGCTTCTCTTCAGACACATCCATCCCACTAATATGAACTATTTTAATAAAAAAACATTTCAACATATTTTTAAGGCATTCAGTAGTAGTCGTAAAATGACAGAGGTTTTTTCATCCAATATAACTAATGTTATGTTTTCAAAGATAAGTGTGTATTTTACGTATTATGACATGTACGGTTTAAAAACTACAGTATAGGCAAATTTCCATCTATCTATTTTGCTATTATTTTTTTAAATTATAAATCAGTGGAAAATATCTCCTTTTTCTGTTAATGTTATTGGGTGGATTTTATAAGATATGGGAATTTTAAATTTTTTGTTGGGTTGTTATGCGGGTCTCCTTATCGCTTAACATTAGAAATGCAAAAATGATTTAATGTTTTTGTTAAATACTTATTCTGGGGGTCGATAAGAAAGCAAATATTCCATAAAGGGGTCGACGGGATAAAAAGTTTGGGGACCCCTAGACTAGATGCATGTATTTTGAAGGATATGCTTATAATTCGAAGTAAATATAGGTAAATTTTATTCTTTGTTATTGCTTATATTTTGAGACGATTGATTAAAAGTTTAAAATGGAATAATATAGTGCAAAATTGACACTATTAGTTTCGGGGTGCCATATTTCTATGCGCCACTAATTACAATTATTTAATATCAGTAAGATGATCCTAAATGATTATGTATTTATCAGTAACAAGTAAAACGGCGAAGCCATTTTTGGGGCGAGACCATTTCTCGGAGAGCTCGGGCAACTCATGCGCAAATCTCACACTAGCTCCTGTTTGTAGAAACAGTCTCGGCATTTCGTATTTTCTTTTGACCCGGTTCTTGGTCCCCTGACTACCTACAAGTCTGGTTTATTTTATGTACGCATGACTTGGGCACCAAACACTCTGTGCCAAATTGCAACTCCTGACACGTACTTCTTTCATACCTCTAAGGTGTGCAGCTGTTGTCAGCAGCGCGATTTTAGAATCGAGACATAGTCTCGTCAAAAACCAGTGTTAAAAAGTAATTAACCAGTGTTAAAGTTACGAAGTTTGGAGAATCGAACCGAACGTTTCAGGAAGATTGGCCCTTGTATGTGATTATATAATGTCTAAAGTTGTCTGGAAGATTCTGATAGGTATATTTGTGAACGAGTGCAAAAAAAAGTGCTGAAATTTGTAAAAAGCTTAAAGAACATAAAGAACAGTGGACTACTGTCATTACTTATTAGAATAATTCTTGAATAAAAACAGTGATAGGTTAAAGCGTAATACAGTACTTTTAACTGTGATTGTTAGTTAATTATCGAATAGTTTAATAAACATATTTTTCTTAGTAACGAAAAAATAGTATACTTTTGCTAACTTCTGAAAGTTAGCAAAAGTTTTTCATTACCCTATGTTTTTCATTAGTCCTTTGTTTCGTATAGTACGGATTCACATAACACGACACTTTTTCGGGACGTAACTACCGTGTTATACGATGGACATCTGACACCTGTATTTAAAATTCTACCACCATCTCGCCTCTTGTCAATGTTGACTAAGGTAAATACGCATTTTTCGAAAGGTGCCTAGATGTAAACATTGCCCCCTGCTAGCTGCATCCCTGGTATATTCTGTTTCCTTTATTATTGTCGTTTAAATTTTTAAAAAGTAAGTATAAATAATCGACTTCATATTACTGTATGATTTTGTGCTAATTTACATAATGAAATACAGGTCTAAAAACATTTTTTCTTTAATTGTAAAGAGTCTGTAGCATGTTATTGGACATCTTTCCGCTCAGAGAGCTTTATGAGGCCTTTCTAATTTGTTAAAGACAGTATTTTGTAAACTTAAGTTTCCATTTTTCTCGATAATGCACATTTAGAAACCAGAAATTGAAAGTTCAAGACGTAAAAAGAACGTTCCGTCAAAGACAGAGGAACAAAAACGAGCAAGATCACGAGTTACGCTTCTAAAAATTTAACAAAGTATATTTTGCACCCCTCGTTTTATCGTTACAGGCAATCTAATAATATATTGTAAAGCTACATTTTACACTTTACGAATTTCAATTTATGTAAAATATGAAAGTATATATAACTTGATGAGAAATTGAAAAAAATTGTTCATAGTTCTATGTATAGATATGTACAGGGTGAGTCAAAAGTAAGTGTACAGTAGTTAGCACATGAGGGAGAGAATGTTGAATGTTGGGGAAGAATATCTGCATGACTGAGCTACATAAACAAGTACGGAACACAATTGTTGTACGTCTGTATACGTACAAACAATTGAAAAAATACAGACAAGTACTTATTGACTGGTATATATCTACTTTGGGCCATCCTGTATATATATCTTTCACTTTAACAAAATTCCTATCAATACAAGTACTTCAATCTTCTAAAGTAGTTTTGTTTTTGTCTTCTGAAGGGGGGAAAAATAAATGTTTATTCTCAAACTTTAGCCATTTTCATTATTGAATTTCCAATAAAAACCGAAATCACGGATCTGCCAAACATTACGAAATTTATTTTATGCTGTAATAAAAAACTCCATTGGCCTAACTTACATTAAAGCATCTCAGAATAATCTTATTTCAGTTTTAAAATATTGAACCGAAAAATCTTTGAAAATATCTTAAATTCGGATCACTTAACATGATTTTTATATAAATTTTTGTAAACAAAATATATATTTTTTTCATATATTATTTACCAATCTTTATATATTTTATAAGAACTTCTATATCAATAATAGTAATAAGCAAAGTAATAGATATTTACCGTTTTCTATTTGCTTATATTTTCATATTAATATATAAATGTTTCAGGTTGTTTATATATAATGAAATCCCCAGCTCAAATCTTGTTAGCTACATATTAGCCAGATTGCGGCCGACGTTTTCATCTATAAAACGTGAACGTCGAACGTCAAGCGCCGCTCGACGTTCGACGTTCACGTTTGTTCGTGTATTGCATTGTTATCGTCTCTACATCCTGATTATGATCCTGAAAGCCCACAATATTGTTATAGTACAAGTGAGAGCTAGTAAGATAAACGTACCTGGACCCATAATATTACACTAGTATTTTTGATTTGTACATTTTTTACGTTTCTCGTAAGTGTTACACTTGCTTATTGGTTAAGTTTTGGGAGACAGATTAAACAGTATGTCTTCTAATATTTTTACTGTATTATACTGTTTTCTAATAATGTCTTTTGAATTTTGAGTTTTCTAAATTTATCTTTTATTGATAATGGCGTGTTTACAAATTTGGGCATACATTTCTGTAAATCGGAACAACCTTTGTGTCGAATAATTTAAAAAATAAACATTCAAAAACGAGATATATAAAGGTAAAATTGCTCGAAAGATTAAAATTTTATTAAAATATTCAGAAAACAAAACTCACTTTGTAAAACGTCATGCATATTATGCAAATTAACTGCGATATTGAAAAGCAGAGCATTGCAATACAAATAAAAATGCATTAAAAAAATCGTATTATTCCGTGGTTTTCTTTGCTATAAACCATATAAAACAGCAGCATACTAAGAACACAATTGCGATCAGAATAAAAGTGAGATTAATTAACCAGAAAGTAAACAAGTATACTACTTTGTTACAATATAGAGGACTCTCGGGAGAATAGAAATTAGGTTTATAAGCTCTGTAGACCCATACGCAACCTGCAAAATAACGTAAGCTGTAATGTGTAGTATTTCTAGGGGGAAGGGATTCTTCGGAAGTTTGAATTTAATGAAATAAGACGTATTTTAATTAAAAAAAAATTCGATTTACCTGCAATAAACCAGCAAAATATGAACAGATTAATAATTTTGTTGTGAAATTTTGTTATAGGTTTCTGTCCTTTCTCGCTTCGATAAAATTCGAAAAAATCCAGTAAGTTCCTTATAGTGCCAAACACACCCATGACAATCAAATAAATAGGAATATAACGTTCTGCGGGGCAATCCTTGACGTAAATGGAACCTGTAGTGTAAAATATGGCATCACTTTCCGTTAATATTTTCATTTAAATATATATAATACTGTACTTACCAATAATGATCATGACAATGTGGAGAACGACAACGAAATCGATCATCAAGATAGCTTTTCCTAAAATAAAATACATTTCTCAGTGTTATTAAGTGCTCTAAATGTTTTAAAATATCAATAACTTACCTGCTTTATCTCTTGCATCTTTAACTTTATCAAGAAAGCCCTTTTTAGTCTCACCTGCAAAGGTAAAAAAATTATAATTAATTTATAGATTTAAAGAAAAATGATATAAAATTAAATAGATTTACTTTCAGTTTGCTGTTCGGTATCATTTCCTACTGTCACTTGTACAGAACCCGGTGTTCCTTCATTCTAAAACAGTAAAATTCAAATCGTTTACTTAATACTTTCTATTTATAAACTGTTGCACTGGTAATAAGTTACAAACAAAAATAAATAAATAAAAAATTTACAGACAGTTCCCGAATTTAGAAATCGAATAAATTTTCTCGAAATTAAATGATTTTTTTTATAAATTTAAATTATAATAAAATAATAAATTTAAAGCGAAAACAGTAAAATACGTGCCTGTTCTGTACCCATTTCTGTTACTTTCTTAAAGTATGACTATATTGGAAACGTTTCATGATTGGCTAACGTCCAATGAAAGCTCCTTCTACCGTCAATTATTCAATTATTCTAACAAATAAATACATCTTTACAGATACATATATTTGCTGAAATAATATCTCGTATATATATATATATATTTATATAATTTTTTTCTTTTTTACTAGGAATTCATTTTATTCGTATCGTGTTTCAATTATTCCAGTATAGTTTACAGTTCGGTGTGTTGTTTGTTTGTCAATAACCGTTTGCTGTTTACTTGTTTTTGTAATTGGCCCACCCACACAAATATGTCAATAGTTACCGTAAAAGTTTATTCTTTTCATAAATTATAGCTAAATTTTTAAACTGGGAAACATAAAAG